ATTGCATTATTGATCGGTTTATTGCTTTTAATAGAGACGACACTTGTACTGTGTGTGTGTCCATCGCCAAGAAACCACTAAAATTATCTATAAGGACTTCAGTGATCAGTTGATTTCTGATAATCACGTAAGCGGGAAAAAAACAACATACTCAAAAAATTTTACCATCCTTATGAGCATTAAATGATTTAAATACATCATTAAAATTTAAAGTTCTATTTAATGTAATAAATTATATTACTTGCTTATTAAATTTATTATTAATTTTTTTACTTGATAACTGTAGTAAATAATATATCAACACGTTAATAATGCTCAATTGTTATAAAATATTTGTGTTAATGAGATCAAATTATATCAAAGTAAAAATGATTCATATCATAAATTTTAATAGCTTGATTATTAAAAAAAAGTAATTTTTTTAGAAGACCATCTTCACCAAACCTCTTAACTTTTGGATTAATGATTTTATACTAGATATTAAACACATAGATTCAATATATCTTAAAATTTTTGACACAATGCTTAACAAAGTTTTGTTAATAATAATCCTGACAATTTTTTCATTAAATATAAAATGAAAGCAAAATAAAATTACACCAATACTTTAAGAGTATGTTAAAAGCATATCTTGTTAAAAATAAGTAGATCTTATAACAAAAACCACATCTTCAAGCTATTGAAATAGTTAATATATATATATATATATATAAAAGACAACATATTAGAATTAAATGAGAATTTCATATAACATTTCATAACTTCTATAATACGCTAAGTTAGAGGTCGAAGATATATAACTCCTACATTTTAATAAAAATAAAAATAAAAAGTTATGGGAGCCATAGCCCCTATCGATTTCTCCCTTTCTCCACTCCTATGTAGAGCAAATTTATTTACAAATAAGTTTTACGAAATTCAAAAACCACAAACAAGTTCCTTAGAACCTAAGTGTTTGTGGTTTTTAAATTTTGCGGGACCTATTAGTAGATAAGTATACTTCATGGACGTAATTTTTCCTTATAAAAAACTATCTACTACCTTATATATTTTGGAACAAGTACAATTTCTAAAAGATATCAAGTAGATAATCCAGCCAACATTAGAGGTTATCATTATCTCTACGTATCTCAATGGAGATAATCTACTGCCAGTAAAATCTACTTCTTATGCTATGAAGGAAAAACACCATTTATATGCTACAGCTTTAATTTCAATCTTGCAACACCCGCGCGTGTGTTAAACGTTGTTAATTAATAAGACAATTAGACGCGCACGGGTATTTGAGAGATGTTTTTAACACCCCAGCAAATATACAAGTTTTTTATTAAAAAAATAAAACCGCTGCAGATTGAATCTGTGACTTAAAAGTCTAACTCACTAAATTTTTATATGCCAGGTAGAACAAAAACATCATGCTCTGTAAGTTTTTTATATTTGTGTAATTAAAATGCGTTTAATACACAGATTTGATAAATTTCAAATTTATTTATCACACTCAAGATATAAGCGAGCATCGTGATGAGATCTATCTATACAGTGATCGCTTAATAAATATTATGAGAAATTGCCTTTAAAAATGAGGACACTCTTATGTTTGACAATAATATAGCAGTAATTGAAAAATTCAGCTGAAATCCTTACTTTTCTTGTTGTCAAGATTTAAAATAATGCAGATAATGTACTTCGTATAAAGTTTGAGGTAAGCTATATATACAATTCATAATATAGCTTTTTTATAAAATTTATTAAAATTTATAAATAAAATTAGATGACATATTTCTAAATCAGCCTATCATTGAATGAGCATCGTTTAAGTTAGGAACAAAGTCAAGCATTAATAGCAAAGCCAGTTTAGTCTAAAAGTTTCAGAAAAGTAGTGAGAAAGCCTCCGTCAGAAAATAGTGATAGCTCAGATAACTAGTGAAGTTGCAATCCCTCTTGACTATATTATACTCCCTTCAAATTAAATATAAAATATTATTTAAATTTAAAATTAAAAATATTAGATAACTTTTATAATTAATTTTTTTAAGTTTACCCTTTCTCCATTTATTACATTTTTTAAAAAATAAATTAAAATTTTAATTATCATTATTAATACGCTTATATATGATATTTAGTGAGGGTAAAATTAAAAAGATATAATTTTTTAAAGAAATTAAGGTTGCAACCAACTTTTTTAGAATCATAAATTACTCCCTTCATCCCCACATATATAGAATTTTCTAGAAAATTTTTTATCCCTAAATATAAGAGATATCTTGATATTTTTGAATAATTAAATGATTTTAATCTTGTCTTAAAAATGGAGGAGGCATTAATTGTGTCTTGTACCTATTGCCACCATGATATTAATTGTAAATTATTATGGACAAAATTGAAAAATTATTATAATTTTAATTAAATGACAAATTTTTATTTGTGTAAGGGATTCAGTTAAAAATATTTTATATATGTGGATTGAAGGAGTAGTTTACTAATACTTTATATTTTGGTCTAGCGGGCGTAGAATATTAGTAACTATTTCATGATTTTATAAAAGTTAGGTAAAGATCTTGATGGTTTGAAAAATTGTATGCCTTTCAATTATACTCTCTTTAAATACTTTATAAAAGTGCCTTAATAACGATTCCAATATAAAGCATCACTTTTCTTTAAATGAGTAAGAAATGGAAGTAGTGGTATGTATAGTTAAAAAATAATTATAAAAATTACTCAATATTTTATATTTTAAACTAGACAAGACTTATATGTTAGATGTAATAAGTGTTCAAAACTTACAATATACTTTCTCCTATCCTATTTGTAGGATATATTTAAATGTAATTTATTAGTCCAAAATGTAAGACACCTTATAATAATTAAATTATTTTTTTTAATTTTATTATTTTTTAATTAGCATGAAGGGATTTAATATAGTTTTATTATGATTTAAAGCCAAAGATAAAAACGTAAATACAAATTTTTTTCATCATGTTAATTAAAAAACTAACTTTTTTAAATGTATAAAAATGATTGAAAGTATTTTACAATAAAAATAAAATGTTAATTAAAAAACTAACCTCTTTTAAATATATAAAATGATTGAAAGTATTTTATAATAAAAATAAGAGGGAATAATAGAGAAAATTATCAATCTATTACAACCTCAAACTGAACCTGTGCACGGTGACTAATATACACGTGATTATATGTTTACACGCACTATTTCACATGGACATAATATACTATAGATGTGTGAACAAGTTAATGATTAACATGTGATAACCTATTTTTATATTAATTTAATAATTTTTGCTATTTAATTAATTATAATTTGCAAAAAAAACTAAGAAAAAATTAATCTTTTAATCCTCCAACTTTTAAGTCACTTGTAACTCAGTTCCTCAATTACGACTCCCTGTGACTTAGTCCCTCAACTATGACTCGCCTATGACTCAATCCCTCCACTTTTGAATCACTTATAAATTAATCTCTTAACTTTTGTTAATTTTTTTTCATGTTAGCTTATATCTCACATCAATGAGCAAGAGAAGGATATTTTAAAATAATATATGAGCATTTTTATCCCTCTTATTTGATAAGAAATTTTTAAAAAAAATAAAAAATAAGGACCAAGTTATAAGTGAATCAAAAGTTGAGAGATTGAGTCACAGCGAGTCATAGTTGAGGGACTAAATTACAAGTGAGTTAAAAGTTGAATGATTAAAAGATTAATTTTCTCAAAAAACTAATTTATAAATATGTCCTATTATTACTTAACTATAAGATAAAAATAATTTTTAATACAAAATCTACTCATATCTTCTTATTTTTATACTATGCAAGAAAAAAAAGAGTATCACTTAAATAAAAAAAAACAAAAGAAGACAACTAAAATAATCAAATATCATATATTAAAAAAAATTAGATAAGTTTAGGCGTGATCTGGATGGATTGTGACCCTAAGGAGGTCAAATAATTATAAATAAACTACTTTCAGTCTCATATTTGAAGATTAGGAGGCATGTTATTGTGGAGCCTAAAAGAGTCTTTTGAGATAAGAGCCTTCTCTCTTATCTTCTTCTTTATGTTTTTTTTTATATCTTTTATTTGGGATTATAATTTTAACTTTATAAGTTTTGTTAAACTCCTAATTAGGGAGTAGTCTGGTTATGATAGATTTTATTCTTTAACTTATTTGATTTTAATTATTTTTTTCATTAAATATTGAATTTTGTCCATGAAATTCATGTTTTATGTTTGCTTTTATACATAGTTTGCTTGTTGGCAGTTTGATGAATTGCAAGGTGAAAAACTTATCTAAAGCCAGAGAGATAGATGCATATAACTAAATTAAATATAATTTAAGAGTTTGTGGTGACTTAGATCATAGTTTCATGATTTAGTTAGGTAATTAATTTAGTAAGAGCAAGATTTAACTTTAATTAAATACATCATAATATACTAAAGGTAATTAAGACACCTTAAAAATTATTGTCACCGTAAAAGAAGGAAATATAATTAACTGAATAAGAATAATCCATCTCTAGTGCTTATCTGATTAATTGGTTCATCGTTCTCGTCGCTTTTATCAATTTTCTTATTTATTTACTTTATTTAATTATTAAATATTTTTTAAAAATTCTAATTTATTTTCTTAAATAACAAATATCACCATTTTTTTTTATCTTTGAATTAGAATACTCTGAATTTATTACTATATCTCATACTTGTAAGAGCGGATCAACTTGCTTATATTTAAAGATGGATACGGTATGTGATCGTTAACCTATGAACTTGTATCTTCATCAATTTAACGATAGGTTCGACTTTCAGTATTTTGGCTAGGTTAATTTTTTGTGAGCATTAATTTGATAAAATTGAGGGCCCTAGTTGAGAGACAGATGATTTTGGACACGTTACGTACGTGGTCTCTCTTCAATTTACGCGAGCCATCCAAATTTAATTTGCAACCAAAATCATCTCCCAGGATGAGTACGATGACCATCTCAGAATGAAGAAGCTGCTCTCGTTTCTACCACAAGATTATTTACATTATTTGGTTTCATCTTTCTTCCCTCTAACTGTCTCACCTACACCATATGCGTGTTAATTCACGTGCACTAAACTAATTAACTTCACTTCTGAAGTCAGCAAAATGCGTCTCTTTCCGCAGAACATTAAATTGCATGAGATGAACCACTGCTTTTTGGTTACTCTCGCTCCTGAAATCAGTACAGCAGCAGCGTATCACCGTCTTCTTTCGCTCACTTGAGCCGGCATGCCGCCTCTCACGGTGGCGGTGAGACCCGGGATGAACCGGGGCTCTGACGAGTTTGTTTTCATGACCGGCCGGATATCAAACCTTCGGACCAACGCAGCTGTTATAGACCTCATCTCCATCAGAGCCATCTCCTTCCCCAAACAAATCCTCACACCGGCCTGAAAAACCGGGTACTTGAATGGGCACTCGGGCACGAAGACGCCATCTCGCAACCACCTCTCTGGCTTGAACTCGAGACAATCGGTGCCCCATATCCGCTCCATCCGACCCCATTGCATAGGGATGGTACGTAACTCTTGTGCCCTTCCTCACAAAAGTACCGTCCGGTAACACGTCGTCCTGTAGAGCGAACTTTGAGTCGAACTGAACCGGCGGGTATAGCCTCATGCTCTCGTGGACCGCTGCGTTCAGGTAATGCATGTCACGCAATTGGTCGAAGCGCACAACCTCCTGGGCCGGTCCCATACCCCGGTCCAACTCTTCCCGGATTAGAGATTCAACTCGAGGATTTTTTGACAACAACCAAAAAAAACAGGTCAATGCGGCAGCCACCGTGTCACGACCTGCCAAAAGAAAACTAACGACGATGTCTCGGAGATACTTGTCGTCGTTGACCAAGCTCATGAACCTCGAAAGAAGGTCTTTGCGCGTCGAAGGACCTGTCTCGCGCGTTCGCCAAATCACTCACCACTTTAATTGCTTCCTTTAATTTCTTCTCAGATCCTATATTGAAAAGCCGTTTCATCTTCCATATTATTGGCGACGCCATCATCGCCCGCTCCGCCGAAAGCTTGGAGGCATCGTCGAACGCCACTGCGAGGTTCGATACGGGAAGGGACGACTTGAGACAACCCGGGTCCAAACCGAACGAGAATATGCAAATGCTGTCGAAGGAGAACCGACGAAATATGTCTTGTAAGTCGAAAACGCCGTCGATTTGATTAAGGATGGGAATCAGCCTCGATCGGATCTCGTCCGTGACCACCTCAAGCGCGTAGGACCTAATCGCGACGCTTCCGAGCTCAAGGCTTGCCATTTTGCGCTGGAACTTCCAGGCTTCACCGTCGACGTTGAAGATTCCACGGCCCAAGAGATCGCCGAGGATTGTGGAAAAAGGCTTGCCTTTCGGGTAGTTATCGAATCGGGTCTTGAGGATGTACTCGACGTTTAGGATCGGCGGTTATGATGTTGCCGAGAACGTGTATGTGGATGGAAGCAGTGGGTGACCTGCGAAGAAGGTGAGTGTACCAATCGGCGAGATTGTTAAACTGATCGGCCCAGCTCATGGTCAGGTAGGTTCTGCAAGTGTGACAGCTACACCAGGGCTTGATTCTGAAGACGAAGACAAGGAAGGAAAAGAAGGAGAAGAGGACCGTGAAGGAGAAGAACAAGAAGGTGAATGTGGTGGCAGCCATGGGATAATGCACAGCTTCAGAACTCATTGTTTAAAAGCGCTTAGAGGATACCAGAAAGAAGAAGAAGAAGAAGAAGAGATGAGGGAAGAGGGAGGAAGCAAGATCGATATAAATAGATGGGTGGATTGACAAACAATGGGCACAAGGATTAAGATTCTCTTCATTTTCAGTGCAGTGGTTTTCTGCTTTTTGGGCTTTTGTATTAATAGTTGAGTACATAAAATCGGATTCAGTTGAGAGCCAGATGTAGCGAAGATTAAAGTGCATGAAGAACGCGTGCGCAAAATACCAACTAGGCTTAAGACGCGCGATATTTAACCCGCGTGACGAATAATGTTATTTTCTTATAAGAAAATGTACTCAAGTCGATTTATGCGAGATTGTTAAACTGATCGGCCCAGCTCATGGTCAGGTAGGTTCTGCAAGTGTGACAGCTACACCAGGGCTTGATTCTGAAGCCGAAGACAAGGAAGGAAAGAAGGAGAAGAGGACCCGTGAAGGAGAAGAACAAGAAGGTGAATGTGGTGGCAGCCATGGGATAATGCACAGCTTCAGAACTCATTGTTTAAAAGCGCTTAGAGGATACCAGAAAGAAGAAGAAGAAGAAGAAGAGATGAGGGAAGAGGGAGGAAGCAAGATCGATATAAATAGATGGGTGGGGATTGACAAACAATGGGCACAAGGATTAAGATTCTCTTCATTTTCAGTGCAGTGGTTTTCTGCTTTTTGGGCTTTTGTATTAATAGTTGAGTACATAAAATCGGATTCAGTTGAGAGCCAGATGTAGCGAAGATTAAAGTGCATGAAGAACGCGTGCGCAAAATACCAACTAGGCTTAAGACGCGCGATATTTAACCCGCGTGACGAATAATGTTATTTTCTTATAAGAAAATGTACTCAAGTCGATTTATATTAAAAGTAAAAGTGGTCTGGGATGGGCCGGTGGGTCCATGTTGTTTTCTATGTTTGTTGTGCAATGAAAAGGTCGCAGTGCAAGGTCCCAGAAAAAAATAAATTTGACGATGAGGTAGCGGTGCTGGCAAGTCGCGGCTAATAGATCCAGTGATTGACAAGTCTTTTGTGGGTGTGTCCGCCACTTGGGCTTAGTTGCTCAATGCTCATGATTGGCCATAAATTTCGAAAAATTAACAAAGCAAATTTTTTTTTTAATTTAGATTTTAGAGCGATCTATGCAACTTGCAGGCTCAAAATTGAATCCAGATTTGCTAACAGCAAGCAGGTTTTTCTCGTTTCAAGTTGCTGGATTTATATTCGTGAGACTTCTGAGTCAATTAATTAAATAGTCCCTCTAATTTTTATTGCCCCATGCTTTCAACTATTTGACATATTTTAAATAAAAACTAATTTTTTTAATATCATAAAAAAATGAAATGTGCTTCTTTTTTATTTTTAATTTTTAATACTGGTACAATTATGTTAAATATTTTCATGTTAATTAAAAAAATGTAAAATTAATTAAAAAATAATTTAAATATTACAGTGTGTTGTATTTTTAAGATAAAAAATTATTTGTAAAAAGTGTCATACAAATAGATCTGAAGGATTGGAGGAGTACATATACATGTTTTTAGTACCTACACATGTTTTATTGGGGACCACCGACCTGGTATTGAATTAAAAAGGATGTGTCCTTTTCACTTTAGTGTTTTATTTTGGATGTGTTTCCTTTAAATAAGAATTCCTCATACATGCATAATCTGTGTAAGGTTTAGTGAAATTATTGCGAGCTTTATTTTAGTAGTTAAGGGATGGTACTGCTATAGAAAAAGCCTCTTTTGCTATTTCCAACCAAAATGGCGTTCGCATATATACATGGAATGTATCGGCATAGAGCCATAGATACATAATAAGATAGTTTATGTTCCAAATAAAATTTATTTAACTTTTAAGAATCAAATTAAAGAATATTTTTTAGGATAATTGCCAAACAAGACTACTTCTGGTCAAAGAAAAATTAAACCCTTACACATTACTCAAAATACAAGATTAGGCTGAGGCAAATTTCACATCGCGGCGTGAATGCGCGCGCGCACGTGTTGTTTTACGAGTTCCAGATTAATTTTGGTTATTTTTTAAAGTTATGAACATTATCCTAGCTTGTTACGAATTACTATTACTAGCATAAAAAAGAAAGAATTGCAACAATTCATGATTTTTCTCGGAAGGAGAGATAGTGTTAAAATTTTATCGATAACGGTAGTAATTGCAGTTAAAGTCATGAGGCTATTACATTTTTTCTGGAAGTCCGATCCAGTAGAAAACACGGTAAATTTCTTAAATGTTGTAGGCCACTTTCCCTCTGGTCCTTGTTAAACTCGTCAAAGATTTGAATTAGTCTCCAAAAATATCCACAATTCATATAATTAATCCCTCTTCCTTTATATTTAATTACAGAAAAAGACTTAAAAATTATGGAAAATAATCATATAAAGAAATATATATTAATCAAGTCCTTTAATTTATAAATAAATCTTAATAGACTAATGTTATTTCTTATAATCTAAATTATAAGACAATTTTTAGATAAAATTTTATATACCAATAAACCTCATTAAATATACTTAACAATTTTATCTTTTCAAAATAAAAATATAAACTTTTAAAAATACTCATAATTTAATACATTAAAAAAAAGGGATTAAAATTAATTATAAAGAGAGAAAGAATAATATTAAAATTATTGCATTTAATGAAACATTAATATATTCAAAGTGTTTTATATTTTAGAATGAAAAAACTCCTTCAAATATGTCTTATAATTTGAGATGAAAAGAGTATCATTTTTAAAATGACACAAGGACAAAGAAGAATAAGATACCGATCCAAATCTTGGAATGAATTTTAAGAATATGAGGAACAAGATTTTCCAACAATACTTGTTAAAATTAAGAAATTAAGAGTGGAATTGAAATAACTGAAGTTGCGGACACCAAGATAATCACATGAAAGGGTTCAGTGTATGTGCCAATTTGGCCCAAACGATGAAAACAAAGGTACATGCAATGCAAAATACAAATGTCATTCTGAGACTGTTTCTGGCTTTCTGCATTCATCTTCTATGTCGGCATGAATCGGCTCGTCTCACGACGTCGACGACACGACGCTATCGACTGCATTGCGCTGCATGCGCTATCTTGTTCATTTATCTAAGTCTGATTTATCATTTAAGACCTCGTCTCTCAAACTTGCGTTTTTTCAATTTTTCATCTTCTCTTTAGTTTGATAATGTATAAATACTTTATATATCTTGCTAACCTTCTAATTTTTATTTCATTTCACTATCAATTTCAAGAGAGAAGTGACTCACATTAAACTAAGATTCAGACGAGATTGAAAAATATAAAATAAAATAAAGCCGAAAGATTATAATTAAATACTGTATGTTTACCTTATTAAAATACGTTGTTATGTTTTATGTGGAGGAATCTTGCTGCTGTTATGTGTCAGCCGCAAAACTGAACAATATAATACTGCAGCCGCCGACAAACTTTTTTCCATTCTCAAGAAAACAAAAGAAGCAGTTCTGAAGGATTACTCGTGATGCGGTGATGGCGTTGCGTGGGTCGTTGTTTATAAAGATCCTCTGAAATACTAATGCTAGATTTTCTCGGCTTCCAATAGATCTTCGAACTTCATTAGCGGGCCACTTCTGGTAAGTAATTTGCGAATTTTAACTATAATAATGATAGTGGAATTAAAATCGACGTCAAACTCTTGCTCATTTCATGGCCGAGAGAACAGCCGTAAAAGTCAAATTTAACTCAAAAGGCAAACTTCCAGACAAAATGTTTGACTGCAGACGAATTCGGCGAGGTTACGGGCAAAATGTTTTAGTTCCGGATAACACCGGTTAAAGTTAATTAGACTTCATGAATTAATATAATGTCATGACCTTATCAGGAGGTCAAAAATTGTACAAGTGGGCTCGGACCTTTGGTTCAAATGACGTGCGTGTTGAACACGAGTGTTATGGAATAACATTAGAAAAGTAGAAGACAAGACTGAATTCAATTGTACATGTCGATTAATTTGGGATGAACATGAATGCATAGTAGAACATAACATTGATAATTAATTTAGAGAGTTAAGTGGAGCCCACGGGGCGACGACGGAAGAACTGGAAAAAATGAGTACATAAGACGAAAAAAAGTGGAGCTTTCAGCTGTAAGTTGCGTGTGGGCTTGAAAGCTACGTTCTGGGGTTGGGAATCGCGGATAAGCATCATTCACAAACAATACACACGCATATTGCAATAATTATGAACAAAAATGGGGCCGACGTTGTCTCTGGCTTGTAGTGTTGTTGTTAGCTGCATGTGACAGGAGGGTGGTGAGAAATGAGAGAATAGCACAAACTGGTCACATCCACTTTCATTTCAGACTGGGATTTGGCTGAAAAAGATTCTGTCCTTCTTTTCAACGCTAGGCTGAGATTAAGGGAAACCTACGCGTCATCAGAGGAAAAAAAAAAATTGGGAAAAAGAAAGCTTATTAATTCTTGTGTCTACAATTATGGGCGATAGAGTGAGTGGTACTCATAAGGTCGCGCCGATCCATCGACATGGAAGCCAGCACGACGCATGGATTCCACGTTTTAAACAAAGCCCAACTTACCATTTACACTCTTCTGAGTTCTGCCATTCATTCAACCTTCTTCTTTCCGATGTAGTCCGCGTATAAATTATGCACGAGTATTCTTTTGAAATATCTGTACGTGTATAAAATATCTTTTTATGCCCATCGGATTAGTCTGGATTTAAAAAGAAAAAAAGAAATGCTACCGAAATGATTTAAAACAAAAAACAAAAGAAAATTGCACTTAGGATAGGCACTCAGAATCACTGGGCAAGTCACCAATATAACTCCTTAAACCAGGAATAATGATAAACAGATATAGATTCAGGACTGATATGCCAGCTCTTCTGATGAATCCACGTATATTACAATCATTAGGTTACTAAGTGTTCAGCCTTCAAACAAACATGTACAGCTCGCCGTCATCATAATTCTTCCACGATGTATTAGTCTTGATTATCGTAGTTTCAGATTCGAGAAAAAATATTTATTTTTTGTTAGGGGGAGTGCTAGGCCGGCTACACAACATGTATGGTTTTTTAAATTTGCTTGTGGAGTCATCTTTGGATGAACGATTAGGAATGCGCGGCGGGGAGCAAAAATCAGTTGTCGTATTAACAAAACGTGATTATTAATTAATTAATATAAAATGAATTTAAAATAAGAAATCAGTTATCTTAATAAACTTGAAT